CTACATGTGGTGCTGCTGCAACCGCCGGAGCAGGAGCCACCGCAGGTAGCCTAGCTAGTACCTGTGCTAACATCCCAAGCACAGCCTCTAACCCCACTGGTGCTACATTCGCAGCAACCCCAGCTGCACCCGCAGCATTCCTAGCCACGTTCTCAGCTCCCGCAGCATTCCTTGCTGCTTCCACGGCTGCCACTCTAGCCACCTCATTCGCAACCACAGCTGCCTGTCTCTCGGCTTCCCTAGCCCTCTCAGCAACATCACCGTTGACTGAGTTAACAGACCCCGCAGCCTGGTTGTCCCCATTGATTCTCACGGTTCTTCTGGTATCAACCATCTGCAAGTACACAATGCCAGTTAGCCGAAGCTAACTCAAAACGTGTTTCACAACACCACACAACAACTTACCGCGAGACCTTGGCAGTGAAGAATGGATCGGACCCCCATAAACCCCAAACAAACAAACAAACAACAGCAGTCACCAATTTCAGTCCTAGAAGCGTTAAAACGCTCTGATACCAACTTGTGGTAACCCATCCCGGTAAACCGTACCGCGGCTGTGTCCCACTACATCCTCTAAGTCCATTTCTATACTTAGCCATATTTTTGAACTTTTTCTTTATTTTTTTCTAAGTCTTTCTTATCAATACACAGCGGAATATAAATAACTCATTTCATTCATTTAACTCTCAAAAACACTTAAACAGATTCGGGGTTCCACATAAATCAAATCACAAGGTTCACTAACGATTACAACCAATCATCTAGCAACCTAGACGGTCAAACACCAAAGCCATAAGACTCTAAACACAAGTCTTAACACAAATAAAACCAAGTCCCGATCCATCCATATCCATCACTGCCGCCTGGTCTCGCCCCTTACTGCTTAGTACCTGCACACTCAAAATGAGAGGCATAAGTATTTCATAAATACTTAGTGAGTACGGTCATCCCGTAACACCTGGTCAGTACCAAAACACGCAGTCATACTTTCAGATTCAACATTCAACACAATCAATTTGCAATAGACATAACCATATCAAACGGCCATGATCATCTAGCCTAACCAACCAAGATTAATCCCTTTTTAAGACCCATGTCTACTTCAGCGAGAATCCCACACCCCCTAAGCTAGTACATGATCTGGATTACCCTGAGGTTAGCTAAACATCATATATGCCACGGTAAACACCACAATATATCACAACATAAGGATTGCTTATCAGTTCTAAACACGTAACATAAAAATCACACAATCAAAATGCAAAACACTCAACCCTAGCAATCCTACGGTCCTAGACCCAACCACAGTCACGCACTCACCTTAGACAAGGCTAGAAACAGATTGGTCAGAAGAAATCCCATGAAAACTGCACCAAAACGAAGATATCCGATCTCTCTAAGAATCTCTCGGCTCACGGTACGATCCGATCCTTATCCCCTCAGCTATCTCTTGATCCGTTCACCTTTCTTCGAGCCAAACTCTGTTTTCCCTCAGAAACCCCACAAAACAAGGCTATTAGCTCGAGGTTATCCGATGAAAACTCAACACTTAGGGAAATATCCGATCGCTTACCAGTTTATCTCGGCGATGATCGGTTCTGCTCGGCGATAGCCTGATCTCTCTCGGATGTCCTCGGGATAAACTGTTTTTCTTAGGGTTTTCTCTTGACTAAACTCTCTCTTTGCTTTATTTAGCTCAAATAAACGCAACACCCTCGAGTTAAGTCTCAAATTCCCTTATATACTCGCAAAACCCTAGGTAACCCGGACTTATCTGACGTTTTCCTGGTTCCAGTAATCCCAGTCCGATTCGATTTTCCTCGGCTATTCCCTGTACCGGCTCGACCATCCCCTCGATAAATCCCAAAATAGCCGACCAAACACTTGGCCCACGGCCCAAATCTCTTCCCACTCAGATAAACCGCCCTTATCCGAGGTGTTTTCCATTTTTCATCCGGATATTCCTATTTCTCCCGGATAACTTGTCCCACCTCGTCTAATCCTTTATTTCTCTCGGAGGTTTCCTATTCCCCCTCGGAAACAGTCCACTGACACTCGGACTAACCTCCCAGTCTCTCGGATATATCCCACTGCACTCGGATAAATCCCATTTCCCTCGGACTGGACCCTGTTTTCCCTCGGATATGGTCCATCCGGCTCGGCTATCCAGCCCACATCCGACTATTTCACCGGTCAACACCTGACCATAGTCCGAACCTCCATTTCCCAGCCAGTATCCGACCCTTGGCTCGGTCATCCTTCGGACAATGCCCTGTCCGGTACGATCATTCCACATTTTCTCGGATACAGATGCTACAGATTTTGTCTCAAAATATCTAATCAGCGATCTACCAAATCATCTGATTTCCCGCATCTTGTCTCTCCTTTCAACCAAAGAAGCTGCTTCCACATCTGTTCTCTCGAAAAGGTGGCGTTTTTTGTTTGCGTATGTGCCAAATTTTGATTTTGATGATGCAAACGAAGAGACTCCCACAAGTTTTGTTGAATTTGTGGATAGAGTACTTACTTTGCCAGGGAATAGCACAGTTAACAAATTCTCTCTAAGTTGTGGAGATGGTGTTAATCCAATTCTTGTCAGTCGTTGGATGTTAACTGTGTTGCTACGTGGCGTAACGGATCTTGATCTAAACGTGTCAAAGCTTTACCTATGTGGCCTAATCTTAAGGAGCAAGTCACTCGTCAAGCTGAGATTAGGGCCGAGATATGGTCGCTCTCTCACCTCTGACATGAAAGTGGTAGATGTTTTTCTTCCAAAGCTTAGATGCCTCTTTCTTGATTCACTTTCATTAGAAGAAGGTGATGTTGCGCTTGGAAAGCTTCTCGCCGGCTGTCCCATGCTTGAGGAAATAACTCTGATGAACCTCGGGTGGGGTTTTTGGAAGTCTTGCACAGTCTCTATCACCAAACACAAGAGACAAACGTTTTCCTGTGAGCACATCGTTTTGAGTCCAAGGGGTACTCCGAATCTTGTCTACCGACTACGATACTATTGCGGACAAGTATATGAAAATCAGTTTTGATTTGATTTTCAAAGCTCATATCAGTCTTTGGCTAACAGAATATGTAGATGTAAGCATCATAGAAAGTGGTAAGGCAGTAGAAATGGGTAGAAAAGCCAGCGCTTTTCTTCGGGGAATATGCAACGTTCAAAAACTTTTCGTATCTACGGAAGCACTTGAGGTATGTATATGAATCTCATCTTTATCCTAATATTGTTATGCTTACCTAGAAATATTAAGAAAGCAAACAACCTAGAGCCTGGGGATGAGCTATGTAGAGACGTGTGGGGTAGATTTAAAATATTGCTGATTTTTATTGTTGTTACGATTTTAAAGTGAAAGGGTATTATAACGCCATAAAATTATGTTAGGAATTAGGATGGCCACTTAAAATAAAATAAAAACTCTCTTCATGTTTGTGTATTATTTCTTTGTGATTCTTTCATTGGCCATTTGGTTCCATGGCCAATGAAAATAATATAATAAATAAAATGCATCGCTGTTTGTTGATAAATATAACATATTTGACCCATCATTTTTTGTTCTGCCGCTCAGCTTGAGTTAACATTCATAACAAGAGAGTAATGATTTAGTTTTTTTTTGTTTCAGGCACTTACGTTATGGGAGGAAGAAACACCCGTATTCAAGAAACTGATTCAGTTAACTATCGAAAGTAATTCGGAAGTAGGATGGGAAGCATTGCCAAGTTTGCTCATGAATTGTTCAAAACTACAAACCCTTGTTATAAAGGTATAAAATATAATTCATTAAATCATATTTGTTTATCAGTTACAGTTTAACCTTTTGAGGCTCATTTATATATAATAAAAACTTTTGAATTTTTTAGAATTTTTAGAATTTATTTTTTTCTCTATGCTTTTTAGTTGTGAAGAAGAAATATATAATTTCCTTTTTTCTTTTTTGTTCTTTTTGCAAATTTAAGTATTTGAGGAGCTTGATTCTTTTACTTGTTATCCATGGTCTCGCTTTTTAATATCATATGTTCAACCTCTAATATCTTAGAACTGGCGTTTTTTTAAAAAAATATATATATATATATATTTTTTTCAGGATCTCTACCACAGACATCATGATGGATGTGGGAATGTGTGCGGCTGGGAACGTCTTGAAAATATTCATTTTTTCCTTTCTTCCTCTCCGGTGAAAAAACTAAAGATATATATTAGGTCTCGACACATTTATGACAACAGAGAGATAAACATAGTCCAGATTAGGCACTTCTTGGAGAAAATGCCGGCTCTTGAAAAGTTGATAGTATACTACCATACATCACTTGACACTGATGTGTTAAATTTATTCAAGAGGCTTCAGGAGACTCCAAAAGTAGCTTCACCAAAGTGCAAGATCCAAGTGATCTCTCAGAATCTTTATTTGTCATCTACTTTGCCTTGAAATGGTAAGTTTTTCAAGAAGAAGAGTTGTCTTGGTTTCTGTCGTTTGAACTTTGCTTGTCATCTTAGTTTCATGACTAGTGTTTTATTTATACTTTTTCTTTTCCTTTTTAAAACTGACGATGTTAAGTTTATGTGTTAAATGTTGTTTCTTGTCTCCGACCAAAAAAAAAAGTGTTCTTTCTTGTTTGAGGATTAATGGTAACGACATAACCATGTTTGATATTTGTTTACTCATATTATAGTGATTAGAATTATAGAAAAACAAATAATCAGTAAATGGACCCAACTCGATTTGGAACAAAAATCAAGATTTTATATTTTCAATTTTCTTTCCGCTTCTAATCTCTCAGTCATTCTTGTTCCCATGAATTTTCCTAATGTTTAACCCAAAATCAATACAAGAATAACAAAATGCCAACATTACCCTTCACTCTTCACCACTGTTCCTCCTCTCCTCTCCCCCCTCCTTCCTCCTACCTCCGCCGCAGCAACACAGCCAGCTAAAACAACTGGCACAGTAACAACATTTACAACACTCGGACTCATGGCATTTTAGACATTTCATTCAAGGGAAATTCGGACATTTTCGCATCCCGAAGCAGCTCCAGCATTCGAACTTGGGACAGGAGCAACAACAGCTAACACATCTCGGTTTCTTGCAGTAAGAGAAACATCCCTTCAACGAAAGACAAGAACATTTGCAGCAACCGCAACCGGAACATCCTTTGGATTCGCCTTGAGACGAGACTTGGTGGTTGTATTCTCCATGTCCTGAATAAACCGGTAGAGATGTGTAATGTAGTCCGGATAGATCTCGAGGTTGCAATGTCCACCACCTTTGATCCAAAGTTGTTCATATGGTTCCTTCGCCATTTCTCATAGCCTGTTTCCGTGTAGCTAATTCACCACATCACCCTCTGTTCTCTACGTAACGATGAATCGTAAGATAAGTATAAAGTTCACGGAACTCGAATATGGCCGAGACTGAGGATATGGAGATGAGAATGAGATATAGAGTTTGCTTATGTGTATGACAAGAACCTGGCATTTCACTTTCTTGATCTTGTTTACAATCTGCAATTAAAAACCAAGAATCGGTTAGTAAGATAGCGTTAGAACCCCAAAACCGGTTAGCTTCAATATTAGCCACTTTTGATAAATCCAGAAGATACTATAAGCTTAATTTCGATTACTTATACCAGCGGATAATCCGCGCTTCCTATGAAATTTTACATATAACTAGGTGGTTGGTCCGCACATATGTGTGGATATAATTTTTTTGATATACATAGTTAATTATAATATTTAAATTTTAAATATTTGTATGTTTGTATATATATATTATTTTAATATTTCATAAACTTTTTTCTGAAATCAATGTATTTTATTACTTTTATTTTTATAATACTTGTAATAGTATATAATCACAAATATAAAAGTTATGTTAAATAATAATTAAATTCTTATAATATTAATATGCTTTATTTCTTCTTACACAATCTACAATATACTTTTTTGCGTCTTACATAATATGAGTTTGTAAATACATATATAATATATTTTAAGTATATATTTTTCTTGATTTATTGCAAATTAAACTGAAATAGTTTTTACCATATTTAGTTATTCCTAAGAGCGGATAGATGGTTGGTACGCATGTGCAGGCATACCAATCACTTCACTACACTTAGAATAATAAAGATTTTTAAAAAAATATATAAATTGGATAATAATTAAAATAAAAATTAGACTGTAACCAATCTTAACAAAATACATGCACGAAAAAGTTCGCATGTGACTTTAACTAATGTACAACTAATATTTATATATGTACGCGTATTTGTAAAAAAATTGAAATATGGCGACCAACCTCAATGGAAAACTTATTAAGAAGGTATTAAAAATATTTTATTATTTATTTCAGACACTGGGTGTCTTAACTCAACAAAATTATCATATTTTAGTCATTGTGTCTATTTTTTAAGACCCTTTTACTATTTTTTATTCATTTTTATTATTAAGATCTTTTGTTTTAGACACCCAAAGTTCTCCATTAGGGTTGCTTTTACGTGTTAATTTTTTTTTAAGTGATTTTGTAAAACAAAAGGCGAGAGATTTTTTTTATATACTTCTATTTTTATCTCTTATTCATATTGTTTCTTCTTATTATAATTTATTCTTTCGTTCGGTTATTTTTCAATTCATTTATGATCTCAAAATTTTGATATACAATGAAAACAAAATTATGTATATATATTAATATGATATAAAATTTTATTTTTATTTAAAATATGATAAGAGATAAGATGAGATGGTAACATAAGTTATGCACATTTTAGAAAACAACAATAAAAAGATGATAAAAGTTATAGAAAATATATATGGTCCTATTAATATTATAAAATAATAATTAGTATATACTTTATTCATTTAGTAAATATTGGTTTGAAACTATTTTTTTAAAATTACTTTTTAAAAAAAAATCAATAAAAGTTATTTATTTTTATTATTTTTAACATTTTATTCTTTAAATTATTTTTATCATGATTGTATCTTATTTAAAATTGTATTATTTAATAATTTATTTATTTAAAAAAAATTTAGATTTAATTAATAACTTTCCGAAATAAAAATATATCATACTTAAAATATTATTAATAAATAGAATTTTTACTATTCTATTGGATAATTTAATATTATTTTTTATTTTTATATGAAATTATAATATATATATATACTGTTGAAAAAATTTCGTAATTATTTTTTATGAAATTATGAATATATGTAAAAAATTAAAATTATAATAGCTTTTATTTTCTATAAATTTAAATTTGTTAATTTTAGTGTTATAAATATAATTTAGTTTATTTATGTTTTAATTTCACAATTTCTATAATTTCAATTCAACCAATCAAAACATTTCGTTTATTTTAGGAAATTTGACATGTCACATTTACATGTCATCAATTAAAAATACTAATTTTGATTGTAGTATTGAACAAGTAAGCAATTTTCAATAATGTTACTTCTCAAATAATACGTAGTGGATTTAATGTAAAATATTTTAAAGATATAAAATATTAATTTACTTAATTATTAATAAATCTAGTTTTTTAATATTCATACTCACAAACAAAATTTATATTAATCTTAGTCCCACTTATTAATTTTAGATTTTTTTTGAAAACGATACTAAATACTATACTTATATTTCTCCCCTTTTAAAAAATTGAGTCGATATTCATTTTTACGACATTGCCTTTTTTTATAAACATATAGATATTCTTGAAACACATTAGATATAATGTTTGGTGTAATTCCTCTCTCTCTCTCTCTCTCTCTCTCTCTCTCTCTCTCTCTCTCTCTCTCTCTCTCTCTCTCTCTCTCTCTCTCTCTCTCTCTCTCTCTCTCTTAAACACAACATTGAACTATATCGATAACATTTTGGTCAAATTTTAACTTAATATTTATTATCTTTCTCATATTGTCTCTTCTTCTCTTTTTCTTCCCATTCTCAATGTCTATACTTTTACTTAAATGTTATTTAATTTTTATAAAATTTACCAAGTTGTTATTCGAACATTATATTGTATATGTTAGAGTTTTTTAGATAACAGATTTTACCTTTTATAACATGTATTATTGTTATACAAGCTTTTAGAAGCACACATGAGTATTCAAAATACAGATTTGGTCCATATTATTAATGGTTAGAATTGTTTTTGACAATTCTTATCACTCTGTGATGAATTTCATTCATTTGAAATCTGATTTTTAACTATCAAAATTTCAAAATGCATATTTTTCCCTCCCCCTCCCCTCTTTTAAGTCTATAATACACTTTTAATAATCAGTTTTTCCTAATTTGAAATATTTAAAATCAAAAAAAAATATTAATTTAAGCAATATCTTTTAAAACTGTGTATATTTTTCTATGGGCTAATTTTTATTGATCTTCTAAGCAATTATCTTATATATGGTGATATTTTTTATATTTTGATAAAACAATATTGTTTTAGTCAAAAGTTTTACATAGTTTATAATTTAAATAAAATTTATAATTATAAGACTAAGTAGATATTTATATTTTAATGGATCAAATCAAACATCACAAACTCTTCAAATTAGTGTGATAGTAGATTTTTTTATTTTAGATTAGAAAAATTAGTAATAAATTAATACTGTCATTATATTTTTATATTTTTTATATTTTTATATTTTTATATTTTAAGATGGTGTTGGATCTGAAATTAAAGGTTATTTTTGAATTTAGCAAGACTGTGTATAAATCTCATTTTTCTTAAATTGTTCTTGTTTTTATCATATTTACATGGTCAAATAAATAAATTCATATAATTTCACTATGATGAGAAACTTACAAGTTAGTAATATTATTATTAACATTTTGATGTATTTAATATGAAGTAAATGTTTTAATAAACTATAGAAATAAATATGATAAAACTAAAATTATAAAATTAGGATTTCTTTAAATCAATATATAAACTATCTATTATAAAAAATGACTCTTCAATATCTCTTTTTAAAAATAATAATAGAATTTGCAAGAAAACTGGTGTGGTAGAAATTTAGAGTATGTGTGATGAGGTGGCAGTTTAATAAGAGACAACATTCTCCTTAGTAGATACTTTTTTGTTGACATCAATTATATTTATGTACTTAATTAACTAGATTTGCGTGGTTGGTCCCAGGCAATTCAATTAATCGGCATAATGAAAAGGGAAGAGAATATATATCGAATAAATGTCGGAACAAAACTTGAACTTGACATGACATATAGAACACGAAGACCAGAGAGAATGCCACTATGAATAACCACACCTCTAAGTCGAGGAAGCTTAGAGGCAAGGTGCAGCGTTGGTCCCCCTCCCACGGACTGACCATACAAGATCAAATCCTCTTGACCAACTCCATATTCGGTCTGCAAACACTCGTAAATCACCTCTATATCTGCATATGTATCATATTCACTCGACCGCAACAAACAAAAATTATAAACCAAAATTGGTCAAAATATTTTAATTTTTAAACCGACTATTCAAGCAATGCTTCATCAATCAATCTGTGTGTCAATACGTAACATTTCTAGGCTCTACTAGATTGATGCAGAACATTCCAACAATCTATGGAGGTAGCGAAAGTTTTGTTATGAGCTTAAATCTATCAAACATATTATAGAGGAGACACATTGACACACTTTACCTGTAGAAGCTCCATAACCTGAATAATCATACCTGAAAATCAAAACAAAAATAAAATCACAAGCAACGCAACTATCAATAGACTTGTCATAGATCTATTATGATTATTAGAATTAGGGGTGTTAATTAAGGTTAAAATCCGATGTCTGGTCCGGGCAAATTAGCGGGCTTGAGTTTTGATATATAAATCCCCAAAAAATGGACCTTTTGGGCTTATCGATTTGTAGGTTTAAGCTCGACAAGGCACGCATTTACCCAAAAATTCCTGCAATTTATATTATAGTTCATTTAAAGATTTTTATTATAGAATTATTTTGTTTAGAAATGATAATTTATATAATTTTTAAAATTAATGGGAAACTATAATTTTCTAGTTCTATGTCTCTCTATAAATGTAAGGTTAAAGTGGATTCATATCTCAAATCTCCAATCTTTACTATATAGATTTAAAGTGTTTTTGAATTTTATTGTTATTTGATATTATAAATAATTTGAACTTATTAATGTCAAATTTTTGCTTTTAACTTCAATTGTATTTGATAAAATCATATGAATAATTTTTTAATTAAGATTTATTTATAATTACTTTTTTTTTATTTTTACGAATTTTTTGATTTTTTAAAAGGCATGAAAAACTTAAAAAGTCATATAACATAGTTACAATCAGATCAAACTTTATAATATAAACCCGATAATTTTTTGGATCAAGCCGGATCGAACTTAAATATATATAGATTTTATAGGTTTTGGACTGGATTGGGCCGGACCAGCCGGATTAACATGCCTAATTAGAATGAAAGGTTACACATTAGAATATCACCAACCCAACTATAATTGTTACATATTTGTTCGGATGTGAACTAAACATTAAAGGTAATTAAATATATAAATTGATGGTAATATGTGAGAAATTTTGAAATTGAATTTTTGGGTAAACAAAAGACCAAAAAGTTTAGGAAAATTAAGCGTCAATAAAAAAAGGGAGAGTTACTCAAATATCATATAAATTAGGTGATATGACCAGTTACATAAATTTTTTTTTTTATTAATATCATATTTCGCCTATATTTTCTATACTCAGCGTGCCCTTGTTATATGTTATAGGAAAAAATGTACTTACAAAAAATGCTATTATTTTTTAATTCCACATCAGAAAAAATGCGCCGCCACGTCAGAAATCGCTGGGAGTATTAATGAACTCAGCCGTAAAGCGCTACAATGGCAATGACGGCTGAGTTACGGTATGTTATGGCTGATTTAAAGAAAACGGCTGAGTTATGAGCTAACGGCTGACTTACGTGTATAACCCAGCCTGGTGTTTCAGCTGACTTAACGAGATCTATCTAAGTTATGAGAAAACGGCTGACTTACGAGCATATCCCAGCCATAAGTTACGGCTGATTTATAGCCCGATGGTTGATTTGTCAAAATTTGAATGAGTTATTGTTTCGACACAGCTGAATTAACTTTCTCCGGTTGGCTGAGTTATTGCTTCGTTACGGCTGATTTTCGTGAAAGTGTCGTAAATCAGTCGTAATGAGCTGGGTTAACGAAAAACTCGGCTTTATTACGGCTGATTTAGTAGCGAAATATTAATTACCACAATAGCATGCTTTGATAGCTGACTTATTAAACGATACGGCTGAGCTAAAGATTTTCAGTTAAGTTATGACATTAAACAGCTGAATTTGGCAGCCGTTTTTCCTTTTTTTAATTACTGTAATAGTATTCATGTTACGACTGACTTAAAGTTTTGTTTGCTTACTTGCCACTTCATCAACTCAAAAATGACGTCGGATGCATATTTCCATGTCATCATCAACAGAGAAATACGAAAAGTCGTCTTCGTCTTCCTCATCGTCGTCATCGTCTTTCTCGTCGTTGTTGTTCTTCACCTTGTTCTTCACATCAACAGAGATATCCAGAACTTAAATTTTAAACATTCAATTTGTCATCGTCTTCCTCGTTCTTCTTCATTTTTGTTCATCCTTCTCCGATATATTATGGATCCGGTTTCGGTAATTGCAGTTTCTGGTAATTGGGTAAAGAAACACAAATATGTATTTAACACCGACGATAGAGGGTGTAGAGTTGTACGGATAGATACAGAAACAACGCACGACAAGCTTGTGAAGTTGGTTCTCGATGACTTCGGATTGAAGGAGTTGAGCCATTAGGTAAAGCTGAGCTACATGTTCTCGAACAAGACTATGAAAAATATGTCGCATGATACTCCACCAGTTTATGTCTCCAATGATCGACAGTTGAAATGTTTTCTAAGCCTATGGAAAATCGATCAGCTACGTCTCTGTGTAGAGTTTACGGAGAAAGAGTCTAGCAAAATTAGTCGGAAGGATGGATCGAGACAAAGGATGAAACGGCCAATCAATTCTGACTCAAAAAGTAGAATCTAGATACGAAGATTACGGTGGGGGATTTGATGTTTTCTGTTATAATTATAGTAAAAACCAAGACGAAGAAGACGATGAAGATGTCGAAGAAGCAGATGACGAAGAAGAAGATGATGAATTTTCAAGCCGATTTGATATTTTCGATGATTCCGATGGTGCGTCATCTGATGATGACAACTTTACTGTATACGGCGAGCCTCAGAATAAAGACGAAGATTCACCAACTCTGCCTCCTAAGAAGAGACCTCAGAACACTAAAATGACCGGATCGATTGGGAACTCGGAGGCTTTAAGGTTGGAGATATCTTCGCTAAACCTCGCAGTAGGACAACGATATGGGAGCAAAGACGAGTTGGAGAAACGACTGAAACTTCTTTCGGTAAGGGATGAATTTGATTTTGATGTACCAGTATCAAATCCAAGTACAATGATTATTAAGTACTGGGTGGATGGATATTGGAGAGTTCGTGCATCTAAACAACGGGATGAGCCGTATTTTTATGTTCGTATATACGATTCAGAACACACATGTTCTGTGACTGAACGTTCTAATCGATCCCGACAAGCAACACCTGATATTTTGGGAGCTCTTTACAAGGACTTTCTTGGTGACGTTGGTCCGTCCGTTAAACCTCGCAGTGTCTGAATAATTATCAATAAGCATTTTAGTATAAAGGTAATATATTGTTTGTGGCTGACTTATACATTGTTTTATGGCTGACTTATTGATATATTATGGCTGAAATGTTATTACAATACGGCTGGGTTATTCTCATTTCGGCTGATTTATTAATACACTTCGGCTGACTTATAGGTTGTTGACAGCTGACTTATCATTATGTTATGGTTGGGTTATTCTCATTCGGCTGATTTGTTAATACAGTCTGGCTGACTTATGGGTTGTTTACGGCTGACATATGGGTTGTTTACGGCTGAATTGTAAGTTGTTTACGGCTGAGTTATAGATATATTATGGCTGACTTATAATTACGATATGGTTAGTTTATTCTCATTTCGGCTGATTTATTAATATGTTAGTGTCAACAGATGGATTATTAGAAGTTACATAGGACGCTAAGGTTTGCAAGGCAGATCGATCTGGGGACTCCTGAGAGTAGCTTTAAAGAATTGCCTTCTTACCTATACATGATAAGACGGGCAAATCCGGTTACTTCATCGGCTTCTTTCATCCCAGCAGGTAATTTTATTTTCAGCTTCGTCACCGATGACGGCTTTCTACCTCTTCTCTTTGGCTTATTATCTTTGGCTGACATCTGTTTGCTCTCATCTTTGACTTTTGTCTTTTGTACCTCTGCTTCTTTGGTCACCATTTTAGGCTTTCTACCTCTTCTCTTTTGCTTATTATCTTCGGCCAGCATCTGTACCTCTGCTTCTTTGGACACTTGGTTTTTTGAATTTCTGGGGCGTAATCTATTAGCAGGAGACTGCTCAATGAAATCAAGAGGATCATATTTTCCATCAGCGGCCTTAACAAATGCCTTATATAGATTCTTATTGACCCCAGCAAATCCATTGTCCTTCTCTACGTCGACAGAATTCTTCGCCTGTATAACATCGCGAAGAAAATAAGATAACGATAACTCAGCCACAACGTTAAGACAACTCAGCCATATATTAAACATAATTCAGCCACAACTTATATGACAACTCAGTCGTAAAGTATTCAAAATTCAGCCGCAATGTATTGATATTTTAGCCGTATGTATGCCACTGTTAGCTTACCATAGGACTATTAACAGAGTCGTTTTGTGGCGGTTTCCGTGGAACTTGAAATGTGTGTTGTTGTGGCTTCTTCTTCTGGACCAGATCGATAATTCTGAAATCTGAGTCGCCATCACCAACGTTTTGGCCAGCTTGCCCTACCCCCATTGCATTCAGGTGTTCTTTCATCTGTTTGAATTCAATCTCCATAGATCCAAGCCTGATTTCAATGCCAGTCATCCTTGGGACAAACCTTGCATCCATCCTCACTTCTACTCTATCTCCAATCACCTTCTCCATATTTGAAGACATTTCTCTAATGGTTCTATCAACGGTGTCAAACCTTGAGTTTAACTTAGACACCATATCCACGACTGTTCTAACCGACACATCTTCCCCAACATCGTCCTCCTCACTAACACCTTGCAACACATACACAAAAACGCATAAACAAGCTAACCAAATGTTACATAAAATATAAACTCACTATATACCATATCACTTACCTTTACTTCTTTCTTATTCTTCTTCTTTTTCTTCTGTACATCTTCACCAGATTCACCACCCTCACTGTTGATCACTTCCATGGTTTTCGAGACCCTCTGGACTTTCTGCTTCTTTGCGGGAGATTCAGACTCAACCGCTGCTTTAACATTTACTTTTTTCTTCTTCTCATTCCTCTTCACATCCCAAAAATCTTCGACAAACTTATCCTTATGTATGTCTTGAATCAAGTGATCAAGTGCTGGATCGTCTGTTTGATCTGGCCACATATGAATTAGCTCTCTTACATCATTCTTCATAACCATTTTACTCACATGCACCTATAACATAAGTGATTATGAAACCCATCAGTAAATTTTAACTCAATCATCAATAGGTATAA